TATTTTATTTTATTTTATTTTTTTAGACCACCTACCTCTCCACAGCTGTGCAGGAGAAACTGCATGCTTATATATTTTAACTAACACTACTGCACACAGAACAGCCTATAGTATTGTTATTTTTGAGTACAGTACTATTTATTTTGAAGGACGGCAACCTATTCAAATATAGATTAAATATATTTATTTTTAAATGTTTTTGATTATATGGCTTTTAATTTCTTTGAACACAATAGCAATATACTTTTCAATATTTTAAATTCCATTTTCTTTAACCAAAAGTTTAAAGCTTTACGAAAAAATGTTAAGTATCTTAAAACATGGTTGCGGTTCCTTTTTTTGTAGGCCTACCTACTTTTACTCCACAGGTCTCATGACTGAGTCTCACAAATCAAACAAAACAGAGAGAAATCTCTACAAATGAGATCAGTCTACTGTAATGGGAAGTGGTGTTAGTTTTCAAAACATCTTTAGTAAATAAACAAAAGACAAAACATTGGTTTGCTTGATGAATCTTAATTGCGAAATTTCTTCTTCTTTCGAAACTTCTTTCCTGCAGCAGTTGCTGCTCTCTCAGCCATGATCTCCGAGTAGTTCCTTCGATTACATCTTCTGCACTCAGAATCAGCCAGCAGTTCTTCCACAATAGTTCTTTTCCTCTCTTTCTTGGGGATTCGTGAATGATAGAAGTCAGCTGGGTTGTCAACAATGGTTCCAACCTGGAAGTACTTGGGGAAGTCGTCTCGATCATTTTTCTTGTAAAAACGTTTAGGGTCCATGCTAGCTCACATCTTCAGGACTTTGAAATCATTTTTCAGTTCAGCTGTCAATTCTGGGACTTTCATCCCAAACCAACCATTGCCGGCTGTTTTTTGTCGCTCTTCCTGTCTTTTTTTTGGAAGTTGAAACTTCGATTCTCTGTATGGTGGGACACTGTGGTTCTTTTCAAAATCAGGAGCAATGATGCTTTTCTGTAAAAGCTCAGCTTTTGTTTTCTCCTTGATGTGTGTGAGGGTTTTCTTTTTTGATCGTAGTTTGTCTGCATTGAAATTAATGTATAAACCACCAAGCAGCTTCATAGTCAGGCCTGGGTCTATGCTGCTGCTTGTTGACTTCAGAAGTTCAGACTCTGTGCTGGTTAGTAAGTCTTCCTCATCTCTGGCCTCTTTATCCGCTCTTCCGTCATCATCTGACAGCTCTTCACTTTGTTCATTATCTCCCTCTTCTTTTCCATCCGCAGTGACGGCCTCACCAGCTCTGTCTTCCTCTGTCAAGTAAAAGTTTTCTTCAGCACTCAATCCAGGAGTTCTGTCCATCACCAACCAAACTGTTTTCGTTGACACATTTCCCAAGTCGTCCCTCCCTGACTCCCTTTGATCGCTCTTCCCAACCAAACAGGTGGCGTCTTCATTCCCCTCGTGTCCAGACTGCCAGCCTTTGTCACTGCTGAGGAGTAATGACACAGAATCATCTTTATCCGGAGATGTGTTGATCGCAGACTCGGACAGTTTGGTATCATGTTCAAACGTGACGCTCTTTTTGTTCCAGTCTTGGCTGTGCGGTGTATCTCCAGCAGCACCAAGCTGCATCAAGTCACAGGTTTCTGTGCCTTGTTTCTCTCGTGCTTCATCCCATCTGTCCACTTCCACAGCTGCAAAGGTCTGAGCTAAGGATTTCAGGACCGCTTGTAAGTTTGAATTTGAGGGTTCTGGCGTGGCTTTATTGTGTGGAGTTGAGTGCTTTTGAGAACCTAACTGCTGAAGGCTAGCGGCGGCGTCCTGAAGCTCAGAAAGACTCTTCAACAGGGAACTTTGTAAAAAAATCATTTTATTACGGACTCATACAACTCTTATCACAATCCATACGTACATCAATTGTGTAAAGCGCATTTGTACATTCATTGCCCTCATCATTCTCAAAACATTTGCTCTCCACTTAAGCTCCCTGCATTAGGTCCTCATTTTTCCCCTCTCTCCCCCCCCCCTCATGAGCCCTTGATAGTTTATAAATTGTTATTTTGTCATATCTTGCCCTGTCCAACGTCTCCCTTCACCCACTTTTCTGTTGTCCATCCCCCAGGGAGGAGGTCACATATAGTTCCTTGTAATCAGTTCCCTCTTTCCTACTCACTCTCCCTCTACCCTCCCAGTATCGCCACTCACACCACTGATCCTGTAGGGATCATCTGCCCTGGATTCAACAGGGGACTTTTATCATCCATTTCTTTTCCCTTATTTATTATTTCTTTGGTCTCATCATCTAAACCTTTACAATCTGCTTTCCATTTCCGGGTGCAATCTTACTAGCTTCCTCTTCAGTGCGTGCCTGTAATTTTCTGTGCATACTCCTGGGGGTTCTTCTGATTGCGACGCCCGAACATGAAGAAATATCTGAGCATAATGACTCGGCATCGGAAGTGTCCTCTGCACGTGATTCTTGGCTCCGATCTGTGCGGCATTTAGCATCCCCTCTTTCGGTTCTTGTTTTTATGACTGTGGAAGGCACACCTGCAGAAGAAATGCCTGAACCATGAGATTCGGCTTCAGAGACTTCTTCAGGATGAGATTCGTTTATTGGAGATATTTTCACCTTTTTCCTTGCACTGATACTGGAGTGGGTGGAATGATCTGTCTTCTCCTAGTTACTCTTACAGTGGGATCTTGGAGCTCAGACACAGAAGAACAATTGGGTTCTGCTTCAGAGATCTCTCCCTCAGCAGATGGTTCGGTCATCTCGGGTAATGCACCTTTATTTCTGCTTTTCCTCCCTCTGGCTTTAGGAGTTCTTGGGACTGGACTGTGTTTCCACGTGGTATGTGACTCAGTGGTGCTTTGGTCACCAAATTGAGATCCCATCGTGCTTTCTGGATGCTCTTTAATTCCACTAGCAGCAGAATTCTTCTTTGGGGAGCTTTCAACTGACATGTCTTGTCTCCTGGCCCGAGGCTGAACTGACCTGGTAAGGACCATCTTCCCAGCAACCAGCGATCGGCAGCTACCAGATTAAATATATTTAAAACATTTAATTGTGCCCTTTATTTTTTAAAATCATTTTATTGGGGCCTCTTACAGCTCTTATCATAATCCGTACATCCATTCATTGTGTCAAGCACATTTGTACATATGTTGCCATCATCATTTTCAGCTCCTCATGCTACCCCACCCCTCCCCAACCCTCCCACCCATGTGAACCCTTGATACTTTATAATTGTTGTTCTGTATCTTACACTGACCACTGTATCCCTTCACCCACTTTTCTGTTGTCCATCCCCCTAGGAAGGAGTTATATGTAGATCATTGTGATTGGTTCCCCTTTTCTCCCCCACCTTCCCCTTCCCCCCTTGGTATCTCTATGCTCATTCTTGGTCCTGAGGGCTTTATCTGTCTCAGATTCCCTGTGTTGCAAGCTCCTATCTGTAACAGTATATAGTATTATTTTTAAACTTTGTGTTTTTATGGAGCTTAAATTGTGTTTTTGAGATTTATGCACATTGTTACATGGTTCAGGGTTTCTCAACCTTTATGGTTTTGGTATTTGGGGCTTGATAATTCTTTGTTTTAGGGGGTTTCTTGTGCATTGTAGGTGTTTTTCAGGAAGCCTGGCCTCCACTAACTAGGTATAAGTAGCAGCCCTTTTCCCGATTGTGATAACCAAAAATGTCTGCAGAAATTTCCAAGTTGATGTCACTTATACTCATTATTTTTAGCCCTCTATTCCCCTAATCTCCCCGCTGTAT